ATCTTGCACGCTCAATCCGCTCACGCACTAGCCGTTAAACGTGCCGTAATTCGCAATATGTTGAAAACGGCAGCGAAGAGCAGTACTGGTGAGATTGAGAAGCATGAATCACTGAAACTGGCGGCCGATATAATGTTATCCAATGGTCATACAACACGACCCAGACGAAACAAAAAGGCAACAGCGCAACTAAAAGATCAGGTCACCAACAAGGTACCTTTATGCCTGCCCTTTATCTCTGAAAAAGTCACTATGGCGATCAAGCGATGCCTGATACAAGCGAATCTCGAGGATGACGTTATTCTAGTGCATATTCCTCGCGACAACATAAAGAAACAACTAGTCCGCAATAGACTATACGACAAAGCTTGTAACTTACGAGATTGCGCGATCTGCCCATACGGAAAAATCGGAGATTGCACAAAATGTGGTGTCGTTTACGAAATCCATTGTTTAAAATGTTCCGCCAATTACATTGGTGAGACCGGCCGACCATTGGGCGTACGTTTGAATGAACATCTAACTGGCAAAAGAAAACAGAGCATGATGAGCCCACTAGGTAAACACAGAAAGGTAGAGCACGAAGGAACGGATTACGATATAAGGTGCACAATACTAGCCTATGAAAGTCAAATAGCTGCGCGAAAGGCTTTGGAAGCGTCTTTCATTCTTACGCGTGATCCCAAAATGAACAGCAAGAATGAACAGTTATCCATTACCGCTGATCTCATGCCGTATCTTCCGTTTTGCGAGCTATAGATCGTCTGAGCGTATATAAACAGTTATGTGACATACACACTACTCATTCTTGTGTCACCACAGTCGAACGGGCTCGTCTAAAGCGGTTGCACACTGCAATATCGGTAATACACTGGTGAGTGAAAGTCATGGCCCAACCTCCTTCTTCCACACTAGATGAATCGAATACGCAAGTGGGAAGAGGTGTTTGGCGGTCAAGAGCAGACATCCATGTGACTGACACCTTTCAGGCCTCTGATGACGGCGTGTAGCCGAAACGTAAGACAATAAAGTGTATTACTATAAAAAACCTGTACGGCACAGAACAAATACTGAAGTTATCTTTCAAATGCCCAGGTTTCAAGATATAAGGACTTTCAAGATAGTCCTGATTGCTTTCCAAAAAATCCGCTGGGTGCGAGAGATCAGCAATCTATTTTTCCGGTGCCCGCCTGCCCCCGGCGATTGTCTGAGCGGGCGGAAAAATAGTTCGCTGATTTCTTGCGGTCCGCCTGCAG